TGGCGGGGCTGGGTGTGCGGGCAAAGACCGTGGCCACAGGTGGCTCTGGGGAGCGAGAGCCAAGGGATGTGGGGAGCCCCGGTGGGATACCACTTGGCCCCAGTGTGTGGGGGACTTTGGGGTGGCCGTGCCAGGGTCAGGGTGATCTCACCTTGTCTCTCCACAGCTGCCTTCCCATAGTGCAGTAACACCTCCATGTCATCGACACAGGTATCATTGAAGAGGACTTCCACCAGCTCGCTGAAGGCAGTAGAGTTCTGGAGAACGGCCTGGACGTACCGTGACAGCTTGGTGTCTTGGGAGAGGAGCCAGGTGGCATTGCCCACATCAAAGCTGAGGAAGTCCTGGCCATTGTAGCCCACATAGGCAAAGGCCTGGGAGGTCCTGTTGGGATAGAGCTTGCAGCCCGCCATGCATTGGGCCACAAAGGGGTCTGGAGGGGCAGAGAGGAGAGAGAGGTTGCATGAGGGGCTGGGACTGCCTTCCTGCAGATGTTGTCAGCATCTCCTGTGCAGCACCAGCAGTGCCGGGTCCTTCCCCACTTCCCAGATGCTGTTCAGAGAGGGGATGCAGAGAAGACCAGGTACTCACAGGGCACATCCTTCTGCATAGCACCTTCATTGATCAAGTGGTTGAACTGCTGCAAATAAATCTTGATCATATTCTCAATGGTGTCCCAGTCACTGCGGGGCAGGGCTGGGTGCACCCAGGGCTGGTAGAAGCGGATGGTCCAGGTGTGCTTATCAAGAGAACCAAGTTCGATGTCTTCCAGCAGGCCCAGCCCCTCCGTGTCCACAAAGGAGGTATTTTGGAAGGTAGAGGTCTGCAGCAGTCGGATAGTGAAGGTCCCTATAGGAGACAGGGTTGACAGGGAGATGGGCATGGGAGGAGAGGGCTGGGGAAAGTGGAGGGGCTGAGGAATGGGTTCTCCAGGTTGCAGGGACCTGCAGGCCCCCCATAAGCCCTGTGCATCCTTGGCAGCCCCAGCTCCCACCCCCTGCACCCACCTGGGGTGGCTGCATCCCTGCCAGGGAGGAGGTATGGAGCTAGGGGACAAGGAAGAGTGAGGAGGCAAGTGCCCCACTTACCCTCCAGGTCTGCCCATGTCCCAGAGAGGAGAAGGATGTAGAGAAGAAGGAGGAGGAGGAGGCAGCGGCGAGGGGGCTGCATGGTGCCAGTGGTGAGGCCCCAAGCGTGCAGTAGTGGGTGCAGTGGCAAGAGGAAGGGGCTGTGAGAGATTCAGCCACACACTTCTCCTCAGGGTGGCTTTTGCCTGGGCAGCTCTGCTCATGCTAGTGGCCCTGGCAGCCAATAGGGCTGGCACTGAGGTTTTGGGGAGGGCCCCAATGTTCCTGCTTGGAGTGGGCTGGTCTGGGGCATCTTGAGTAAGGCTTTGAGTGCTGGGGGAATTTTGATGGGAGCATTGGCTGCAGGAGGGGTCCCTCATGGCTGCAGCAGCACATTGACAATCAGGGCAGTGCAGGTGACCTGACTCCTCTTTTCTAGCCCCATGACACGTGGAGGTGCCACTTGGCCATGGGTTGCATCCACTGTCCCTAATAGGAATGTCCCTCGCTGCCACTTGTGCCCAGCATGCCTGGCCCTGCTGTAGCACAGACATCTCCATCCTCTCTGTGCTGCCTACTCAACAGGGCGGGTTCGACCCGACGTGGCTGTCTTTCCTGCAGCTTCACCACATGCCTGGGCTCCACGTGCCCCCAGGCTGTACACTGGCCCCATGCTTCTTTGTCACCTCCCGGTTGTCCCACAGCCAGGCCACACTGATGGGCCATGGGTAGAAGTTGTTGATGTGGTAAACCAGCAGAAGCGGAGCCGGGCCAGGCATGCGGGTGAAGGCCATAGCCATGGACAGCTCTGGGGAGCGAGAGTGAGGAGAGCTGATGATATCTCCTGAACCCTTGGCACCGCTGGCCTGATCCTGGGGAATAGGGTCCCCAGGCAGGAGGTGTCAAGCAGTTCCCGCCTGGCCCACAGCTGTGGGGTTGGGGATGGATGCAGGCAGGGCTGGAATAAGTGGCGCCTCCAGGAGCTCCTCTTGGGGCACAGGAAGTGGATAGGCTGGAGCAGTGGTAGTGTGATGGTCCTCAAGGGGACAGACAGGATGCAGGACCTGGAAGGGACTGCTTCCCACTGTCAGTCATCAGACCCTTGGAGTGGCGGCACTTGGACAGGCAGGATCCCCAAGATGGGATGGGGATGCGACCATGGTCCCCACACCCCGAGCCTCATTCCAAGGGACTGTGGTGGATGAGCAGCTTCGACATTTCCATGGAGCTCCATCCAAGCCATGGGGCCTGGGAGCTGCCTCTCTGCATCCCTGCACTTCACAGCGCTGGGGAGCTCCGACTCTCCTGCAAACGCCCCCAGGAGAGGGCCTGGGGCTGGGCTGCAGCCTGGCACTCCCCTTTCCTTCCCACCATCTTCGGAGGGGAACCCTGTCTGCCTCCCCAGGTGTCCCCTGGGTGTAGGAACAGGAATGGTGGGGGCCATCCCCTGCTCTGTCCCTATTGTCACCAGTGTCCATTGCCAGTGTCCAGCGGTGGAGGGCCCACAATGTCCCCTACCCGCTGCTCCTCCCTGACTGTCCCCTAACACCTCCCTTCACCCTGCAGTTTCTCTTCCCCTTTCCTGGGGTGCCCGCACTGGGGGCGAAGGCAGAACCGAAACCACAGCCGAGAGGAAGTTTGAGGGGGTCCACCCCGGTAACCTCCAAACACAACCAGGGCCCAGGTGTACCCTTTGCAATGTGACAGGGCACCATGTGACCCCTCCAAGCACAACTGGGACCATGTGTCCCTGCTCCATGTCTCCATCTTGGGTGCCCCCAGCTGTGGTGGGACATGGGGAAGGCCCATATGGGGCTGCTGCGGGCTGAGCTCCAGCACCCCATGACATTGAGTCAGACATAGGGAGACAAGGACACTGAACTCCTTCCCTTCTGTGGAGCTGTCTCACAAAGAAGTAGGGATGCTGCGGTGGCCTGGCGGGTCCAGAAATTGCACCAACAGTCCCACTTCCCCAGCAGCTCATCTCAGCATCACCCAGGGGATGTCCGTCGATGCCACCACAATGTCGAAATCCCTCCTGGCAGGGCCACCAGTGCTGGGGTCAGAGGAGAGTGTTTGGCTAGTGGGATGGCAAAGCGCAGCCATGGGGTGGCCAGTGAGGGAAGGGGCAGGGGGGCTTTTGTCCATGCAGTCCTATGAGATGACCATTTGTCCTCACGGTCCCCCACAAGGTGACCGTTGGTCACTTCTTGCTGAGCAGCTGATAGGCCATTAGCAGGCCTCTGGCTTGTGCAGGCGCATGTGACAGCCCTGGTGACCGAGTAGCTGATGGGGCAGGTGCAGGCCCCCGGCTATGTCGTGGTTTAGCCCCAGCCGGCAACCAAGCACCGCGCAGCTGCTTGCTCACTCCCTCCGTCCCCCAGTGGGACAGGGGAGAGAACTGGCAAAAAACTCATGGGTTGAGATAAAAACAGTTTAATAGGACAGCAAGAGAGAAGGAAACAACAATAATAACAACAATAATAATACCGACAAAGGAAAGTACAAGAACAAGTGGTGCCCAGTACAGCAATTGCTCACCACCTGATGATCGATAGCCTGTCCCTGAGCAGCGATTCACGCCCCCCAGCCAACTCCAGTTTATGTACTGGGCATGACGCTGTATGGTATGGAATATCTCTTCGGCCAGCTGGTACCTGCTCATTCCTGTGCTGACCCATTGACTTGACTGGATCTGAACTGCCACCTCAGATTTGCTGGGTGATCACTAGACTCCTAGCTGATGCAGGTTACAATGTCCAGATCCAATTCTTACCCTGCGACTGCTGATTTGACTTTCTGGTTCCGTGTTGGTGATGTAGAAACCTTCCTCCCTTGCTGTGACCCTCAGTTCCTAGCTCACTTTCCCTTGTAGAGCATCCTGCCCTTGACACCATAGTTGTAACTGGAATACAGTGGGTTTATCCTAGGACTGGCCAGGGAGCTTTTGTACATGAAGAGTGATTTATTTGTGAATCTTGGCCACTTGGTCTTTGCTGGAGCTACACCAGTTTCACATCACCTGGAGATATGATTCTTTGCCCTCAGTGATGCTAAGTTAGTTTGTCCTTTTTGTGAAATCAGACATTTTTCCCAGTGGTTTAAAGGATAGAAACTATAAACTGGTTTTATATAGAATTATAGAATAGTTTGGGTTGGAAGGGACCTTTAAACGTCACCTTGTCCAACCCCCCTGCAGTGAGCAGGGACATCTTCAACTCAGTCATGTTGCTCAGAGCCCCGTCCAACCTGACCTGGGATGGTTCCAGGGATGGGCCATCTACCACCTCTATGGGCAACCTGGGCCAGGGTTTCACCACCCTCATTGTCAAAAAGTTCTTCCTTATATCCAGTACAGATCTACCCTCTCTTAGTTTAAAACCGTTACCCCTTGTCCTATCGCTATGGTCCCTGCTAAAAAGTCTGTCCCCGTCTCTCCTATAAGCCCCCTCTCAGCCCTGGCAGCTGCAGGAAGGTCTCCTCGGAGCCTTCTCTGCTCCAGGCTGCACACCCCCAGCTTTCCCAGCCTGTCCTCCCAGCAGAGCTGTTCCAGCCCTCGGAGCATCGCTGGGGCCTCCTCTGGCCCCACTCCAGCAGGTCCGTGTCTCTCCTGTGCCGAGGGCTCCAGAGCTGGACGCAGCAC